CTTGTTCCTACTAGTAAAGCCAGCAGCTCCTAGTAGCGTCCTTGTTCCTAGTAGTAAGGCCAGGAGCCCCTAGTAGAGCCCTTGTTCCTAGTAGTAAGGCCAGGAGCCCCTAGTAGCATCCTTGTTCGTAGTGGTAAGGCCAGGAGCCCCCAGTAGCGTCCTTGTTCCTAGTAGTAAGGCCAGGAGCCCCCAGTACCTTCCTTGTTCCTGGTAGAAAGGACAGGAGCCCCCAGTAGCATCCTTATTCCTAGTAGTAATGCCAGGAGCCCCTAGCGTTCCTAGTAGTAAGGCCAGGAGCCCCTAGTAGCGTCCTTGTTCCTAGCAGGAGTATGGAATGGGCTATGGATCAGGTCTGCATGGCGTGAGGGAGGTGAATTTTTGCTCCTTGGCGAAGATGCTACTGGTCAGAAGCGGAACCTCTTTCCTTCTTGAACCTTCCACTGGTGATTTGTGTACATTCAAGAGGCATGTGTTGGCCATGCTCAGGTTCCCTACGGTTCAACCCAGTTGTTTCTTCATTCGCTGTTCTATGCTTGTGGGGCTTTGTTCTCTACGCTGTCTTGGATCCAGAATCTAGCTCTGTCTTTGGTGAGTGGAAGAGCTGGGTGGGTGACAACCACGTTCACGTGGCTTTATATTGTTTCACAGGAGCTTTCTGAATGTGATTACTCGTTTGATTTCGATATTTTGCAGTCGGGCTCCTCGAGATTTGCTTCCCTGAACCAACAGGACTACTGGCTCGTATATCTCTTACCTCTCATCTACTACTACGGCGATATTAAGCTTGGAGAGGACGATCATGTGGAGAGATGTTGTGCTACTAGGAGCAGAGTCGTTCCTAGCTTGTGCACAATTGTCCCTGTTTGCCTGAACAGGATGACGAGGAGCCGGAGTATGGGGACTTGGCATATTTGGCAATGGTTTGGTGCGCTGGAGTCGCGATTGGCCTGATTTTCTATGGAGCATCGGAGCCCTTGTTTCATGCTTTGGATGGAACCAATCGTCACTAGACTTTAAAATGGTGTACTCGCTTTCGAAGTTGAACCCCTTTTGGACATGTACAGTGCGTTTCCAGTCTGTCATGACCATTTTTCGATGTAAGGCCGCAACAATGATGGCTATTCCAATGACAATGAGACGACCATGTATGGTTTTCACATTACAATGTTTCATTGGGGCTTTTTGGCCTGGATCGTCTACAGCTTGGTGACTCTGACAATGGGTATCCTTTCCTACAGGCAAGGATTGCCCCTTTGCTTCCGCAGCACACTGGCTCCAATCCTGGGAAAGGCAACTTGGGGTTGGATAGGTGATTTGCTGGATGTTGTAACGATCGTTACCATCGTGGCTGGATTGACTACTTCCCTTGGTTTGGGCACTCGACAGATTGTTGGTGAAGAGTTGACTGATGATCAGCTGACCGCTGCAGCTGCCTGGATAATTGGAATCATTACTGTTTGCACCACGGCATCTGTGGTTGCAGGTCTGGAGCTTGGGATCAAGTCAGTTTCATATGCTGCGTTTATGCTTGGACATTTTCTTCTATTGTCGACATTTTGCCTCGACGAGACCCAGTACCTTTTGAATGTGATGGTAAGCTCGTTTGGATTTCATCTCCAGAATTTGATTTCAATATCCTTTGACACAGATGCCTTTGCTCAGTTGGGTGTTGGAAATGGGCAGCCGAATGACGGAAAGGGCGCAAATCCTGCCTGGATGGATTCGTGGACCATCTTCTACTGGGGTTGGTGGATTGCTTGGGCACCCTTTGTGGGAACCTTCATGGCCCGTGTCTCCCGTGGTCGCACGATCCGTCAGGTTGTTCTGTACACTTTGACGATTCCCACCGGCTATGCTTTTATGTGGCTTTGCACCTTCGGGGCAGCTGCCATTCGCATGGACCGACGTGCAACATGGTTGGCTGAACTTGGAAGCGAGCTTCACAGCAACAGGGACTACTTCTTGCACACTGACCTCACCTTCCGTCCGGCGAGTGCCGGCAAATGCTACGATGTACCTTCAAGTCTTCCGAACATCACAGGATATGAAGTGAACCCACATGTGAGCCCTGTCTCTGCAACTTTGCAAGTGCTGATGCAGCTGGCTACTGGTTTGACCTCATGAACCAGTACTACCACATGGGAAACTTCATGGACTTTGTGTCTATATTGACAACAGGACTGTACTTCATAACATCCTCTGACAGCGGCTCTTTGGTTGTCGACTTGATCGCCGCAAATGGTCGAGAGGCCCATGTAAGCCAGCGCATTTTCTGGGCCCTGACAGAAGGGGCTGTTGGAATTGCGTGCCTGGTTTCTGGAGGATTCGATTCATTGACAGCGCTCCAAGCTGTCTCCATTGTGATGGGCTTGCCTTTCACATTCATCCTCATGGTCATGTGCACGGCATTGTGGCGTGCACTCAAGCTTGAAGCGGGAGACATGCCACCAATCAACCGGCGAACAGATTGGGCTTTGCCTTTGTACGGTGGGGTCGTTGATTTCCCGGAGTTTCTTCTGACCTGTGGACGATGTCCTATGCCCTCCAAGAAAAGCATTTGTGCTTTCTTCACTGCCCTACTCTTTCCGGGGTATGCTCTCTTCAAGGCACTGAACGGTCTAGCATCCCATGAGCAGAAACCAATGCCCATGGTGGTGAGAATGATCTTGGCCAAGATGACCCAGCTGCTCTTTACCGCTTTCGTTGCCCTCCACATTGCTGCCGCTGTGTATGAGGGAGAGCAGCTGCGCATCGAGGGACGTGGACTGTGGTCTTTCGGTTGGATTTGCTACATTTCCATGGCTGGATTTGTGGCTTTGGGCCGCCATCAGATTCGACGTCTCTACTCCATTGAAGGCTCTGGCATGGAGGATTTCTGGGCTGCCCTGCTGCTCTACCCACAAGCCCTTGCCCAGATCATGTTGCAGATTGAACAGGCGCCGGTTCCTCAAGACTACAAGAAGCCTGTCACAGCACAAACCGTGCAAGGGGTATTGCCCTAGGGACTCACCGAATTCGTTCGGCAAGGTTTTGGCCAGTGGTGGAGTTGATTTCCGCAGGCATTTCGTGGACAAGGTGTCGATTTGGAATGAGCACTCCGTGTTTGGCCAGCCAGCAACTGTGTGAGGAAGCAATTGTTGTTCAGTTATCGACCGGCGCTTGAAATGACGATTTGCTATTCAGATGCTGTTTGGTCGCATCACCCTGCTCACGACGAGAATTGAACTGATAGATGTGAGGAATGAGATTGCTGCATGCTTGAGGCACATATACGTTGTGCCCTGCTGCGCTGTTACATGGTGTACTGCGGCGCACAGAATACGCAGTCTGGCTGATCATTGGTTGCCAAGCAATCGGCATTTCTTCAAGATGACTGGGAGTTCTTGGGCACGGACCAACAAGCATGTGATATTGTACAATTTGTCCGAGTGGTTCTGTGATCTTGATTGAAGCACGTGACATTCACCTTGCGGTGAAAAAGGTAGCTGTTAGCCTATTTATGTTTTTTTGCTCGAACCTGGCTGTTGAATTGTTGAAGAATAACACCAGCATAGACCCAGATAGCCAGGCAGAATCCCACAACCTGTTGACATGCGACTGGCTGGAACAAAAATGTACGCAGCCTGCACAGCCAGCTTACGGCGCCTCCACAGCGCGCACAATCAGCTGACACCAGCACCGGTGCGCTTTGCCAGCTGACACCAGCACCGGTGCGCTTTGCCAGATGACAACACCGGCAGCGGCGCCAGCACCCGACCAGCGCCGCCGCCCGTCTTAAACGCGCGCTCAGCCAGCTCACAGCACCAGCGCCCACGACTACAACACCAGCACCAGCACCATTTCGAAAGCGCGCGCAGCCAGCTCAATCTTTTTCCCCAAACAGTTTACTGTTAGGGGTTCTCAATGCTTTAAAGAATGGTCCCCTTGGTGCTGGATGGTCTGGTCGGGTTCCCGGCCGGTCTCCCACTTCCTTTAGGCTGGGTGCTTGTGGTCGGGTTCCCGGCTGGCTTGTCTCCCACTTCCTTTTATTTGTTTCCCACTTCTTTTCATTTGTCTCCCAGGCTGGGTGCTTGTTTCCGGCCGGCTTGTCTCCCACTTCCTTGCATTTGTCTCCAACTTTTGCCCCAAACAGTTTACTGTTAGGGGTTTTCAATTCTTTCTTAAGATGTGTCGGTGGTGGTGTCCGCCCATTTCCACTGGCCATGTAGCATTTCTAATTAATCATTTTTTTCCCAGGTCTACTGCTTGTGTCCGCCCTTTTCCGCTGGCCATGCAGCATGTCTATTCATTTGTTTCCCGGGTCTGTCACTGGTGCTGCCGCCCTTTTCCGCTGGCCATGTAGCATTTCTATTCATTTGTCTCCCATGTGATTTCTTTCTTTTTGTCTTTCAGGTTTGGTCCCTGCACTGCTGTTTTCTGCCCTGTCGGCTGGAACAGGTTCACCTGTTGCGTGACTGTCTCCGGGATTGCATTCCTGCCACACTGTGTAACACTCAGCTTTGTTTTCCTTTTCGGGCAAGCGTCGGATGAATGACTGGATTGGGTTTCGGCGGCGTGGCAGCCACCTCTCTGTTCAGTTGGGATGGGGGGCATACGTCAGGCACCAAAAATCAATTTCATGTCACATCCTTCGCTCCTCATGCTTTTATTTCTTGTCCTCACGTGGTCAGCATGACCAGCATCATGTTCGCACTTGAAGAATAATTCCCCCAAAGGTTTACTGTTAGGGCTTCTCAATTCTTTCTTAAGATGTGTCCGCCCGCTCTGTACTGCTGTGTCCGTCTCTGCCTTGCAATCCTTTACATTTGTCTCCCAGCTCTGGGCTGCTGCGGTTGCAATCCTTTGTCTCCCACCTCTGGACGTCGCAAGCTCTAGTTTCGATTTTGAAAACACAAACTGTTTGGGGTCTACGGTGGTGTAATTTGCAGCAAGAACCCCATAGCTGCATCTATCCCTGTTTGGGGAATAACAACAACGTATGATCTTGCGCGTAGAAGTTTATGCGCGCAAAAGTATCCGCGCAGACAGCAAAGCCCGTAAGAGTCATTGGCCCAAGGCCAAGCAGTATCCAGCGCCACTACTGACTTTGTAGCATGCTTGAAGCAACGATCTGCAGAACGATAAGGCCGTATGATCTTGCGCGTATAAGTTTACGCGCGCAAAAGCATGCGCGCAAACGGCGAAGCCCGTAGGCTTCACTCGCCCAAGGTCAAGCAGTCTTGTGTATATTGTGTATGTAGCATGCTGAAACATGCTGAAACAATGGTCGGTTGAGAGCCTCACGTTGCGCATAGAACGTTGTACGTACAAAATATGTATGGGCGCAAACAGTACAGCCCTTGACACAGCTGTCGGCCAAAACAGAACCTGAAGAGTGTAAATACCCCACAGTGCTAATAGACAAAGAACGCTCAAGCGACAACACCGTATGATGATGTTGCGTGCATAAGTTCATGCGGCCCATGACTGCTGGCACTTCATTGTCAGAAGTGGCGCTTGGTCGCCGTTCACTGGTGCAAGCGGCGGTTTGTTACCCTTCACTGTCAGAAGCGGCGGTTGTTATCACTTTGTCAGAAGCGGGCACCAGCGCCGAGCACCGGCGCGCCAGCTCATGGCGCCCACGCCCAGCACCAGTATACCCAGCGCCCAGCACCAGCGCCCGGCGCCCTGTCTCCACCACACGCACAGCCAGCGCCCAGCGCCGGCGCCCAGTCTCCACCACGCGCGCGCGTACTGCACCAGCGCCAGCACCGGCGCCTGGCGCACCAGCAACCTGTCTCCACCACGTGAGCGCCCCCGGCACCCAGCACCAGCGCCAGCGCCCGGCACCAGCGCCAGCAAGTCTCCACCACGTGCACAGCCAGCGGCCGGCACCCAGCGCCAGCACCGGCACCAGCAACCTGTCTCCGCCACGTGCAAAGCAGCAACTGTCTCCACCGTGCACAGCCAGCTCACAGCACCAGCGCCAGCACCGGCGCCCGGCACCCAGCACCAGCACCGGCACCCGGCACCAGCACCAGCAACCTGTCTCCACCACGTGCGCAGCCAGCTCACAGCACCAGCACCAGCACCAGCAACCTCACCCGGCACCCGGCACCAGCACAGGCAACCTGTCTCTACCGCGTGCACAGCCAGCTCACAGCACCAGCACCAACACCGGCACCCGGCACCCGGCACCCAGCACCAGCACCGGCACCAGCAACCTGTCTCCACCACGTGCACAGCCAGCTCACAGCACCAGCACCAGCACCGGCACCCAGCACCAGCAACCTGTCTCGAAAGCGCGCACGGGCAACTCACTGTTATTTGAAGTAAGAACCCATAGCTTCGCTATCTCGGGAAAAATAACATGCTGCATGAAGCACACGTGAAGGAACCGTGGGTTGTGTAAAAGGTAGGACACACTGCGTAGGACACACCTAACGGAGATGCCGAGAGTTGGTGAAGTTGAATTCATCGCTGAGCTATATAGGTTTCTTGAAGTCCGGACACGCGCCGGCTGAAGACTTTAGCACTTCCTGCCGCCTTGCTTTGGGGGCCGACCTGGTGGGCTTTGCAAGAAACAGTTGGTCTTGGAATTGAAGCGCAGACATGTTTGAACAAATGCCATAAAAAGGAATACACGTCAGTCTTTTCGTAGATATATAGCGAGAACTACTGGGGTTCTTACTTGAAGTGTAGGAAGAGGTGAATGTGTGCGCGTTGGAGCCTGGGTGCTGGCGCTGCAGGGTGTCCTCTGCAAGACCTCTATGGCCGTGGGCTTTGGAGCTTTGGATGCTGGTGCCGCTGCAGGGTGGGGGTGGGTGTTGGTGCCAGATGCATTTGGCAGAGTGCTCATCCCACTGTAGGGTCTTTTGGCAGGGTGTTGGTGCCACTGCAGGCTGCTGTTAGATCTCTGTGGCAGTGTGCTCTTTGGAGGCTGGGTGCTGGTGCCGCTGGGTGCTGGTGCCGCTGCGGGATGTTGATGGCAGTGTCCATTTTTGGAAGCTGGCTGCTGGTACTGCTGCAGGGCGCTGCCCACAACTATGTTGTGCTATTTGGGGTCTATTCTGGCATAATCGCTGAAAGACCTGAGGCCTTTTTCTTTGCCAGAAGGATGGGCTGGCCAGAAACCCCTCAAACCTTTTTGCCATCCGATGCCATCAGATGTGTATTTTTCTTCCTTTTGTATGTTGAGCTTGAATAGGAGGAGGTTGCGTGCTTCGCAGAATCTTGGACGTGCAGCAGTCATTTCCAATCTACATAAGTGTGACGCTGCTGTTTTGCCACATACCTGTGTGTACACAGCCCCTTTTCGTAGGCAGAGCGGCGCGCAGAGGGAGGCCTGTTCACAGAATCGGCCTTCGCTGAGTTAACGAGTTTCGACGTGTAGTTTTCGAAATCGGTACTTGCTGGCTGCTGCACTTGGCACTTGCCAACCCCTGATGGAGAGCGGTTTCTGCCTGTCCTGTGTCATGAGCTGCGACCTAGCATTCATTGCCTTCTGAAGATTTACATTGCTGATTGCACCGCTTGTTGGTTCCTTGTTTGTTTCATTCTTGTTTGTGCAGCTGATTGGACTTTGCTCAAGATCACATCTGAATCTGCGGGTTCACCTTTCACTCTGATGGTTGAGGTGGCTGAGGTGCCTCTGAAAGATTGCAAGAAGGTCTAGAGTCTTGAGAGTGCAAGGGCTTTGCAGACAGCTTGCACAGCTCCCGTTGTTTCTTCAGATGCCAGGTGGAAGAATACGAGAAAGGGTACGGGTCAGGACCGCATGGGACCAGAGAGGTGAACTTCTGTTGCTTGGCGCAAGCGAGGCATTTGAAGTCTTAAGTCAAACATGATTAGAGCACAAGCTGCATGCGCCCAGATGTCAAAAGACATTTCTATACTTTGTCTCGTATGTTTTCTCTGCAAATCCTTCACGACACAGGTTCAGTCCGATTCAACCCGGTGGTATCCTTCCTCTCTGCTGTTTGCCTGTGGGGCTTTGTCATCTACTGTGTGACGGACGATGAATCGAATGATGTCTTCGGCGAGTGGAAGACATGGGTAACAAACACTTTCACATGGCTCTACATTGGCTCTCAGGACATCGTTTGTGTCCGCTTGTTTTGACGTGCTCACACTTCAATAGCTTTGCTTTTTCATTGCCCCCGAATTGTCCAGGACTACTGGATGCTGTATCTCTTTCCGCTTGTCTACTACTATGGTGATATGAAGCTTGGAAAGGACATATCTGGGATTGAAAGGGTTCTTAGTTCTTTGTTTCTTCTTGACTTGCACCGCGCCTGAGAGCTGTGCGGGCCGGCAAGATTGAATGAATTTGGCTGCATGAGAACCAATGGCTGTGCTTCCAGGATGACGAGGAGCCAGAGTACAGTGATTTGACATACTTGGCCATGGTTTGGTGTGCTGGAGTGGCCATTGGACTCATTTTCTACGGAGCATCTGAGCCTTTGTTTCATGCAGCTGATGCAACCAATCGCAGCTTGGCCAACCTCCTTGACAGTCTGATTGTGCAATTTTAGAACACGACTTGCATAAGATTCACTTTTACAGGGTTTGCACCTTGCACGCGAGGCTACAACAACAACGGCTACTCCAATGACAACCAGAAGGCATTGTATGGGTTGCACCTCACAATGTTCCACTG